CAAAGCCAGATGTTGCCAAAATACATATTTCAAAAATAAGTTTGTAGTTACAAGCATTATCCTTGTTTATAACATGCGTAAAATCATAACTTGCTACTTGTTGTCATTGAGTATGCATATGTGCAAAAGTGCGAAAATTCGTGTAAATTCTCACCTTCGAGCAGACGTGGTTCCCGTGGAAGATGGTGACGACATTTAACTGATGGTGAAAACCTACCGCACATCTTGATCAGCCTCAAACATTTTTTTCCGACCCTGTGGGTTTGGGTAAAGGCGGATGCCAGGTACGTAGCAGGGCTTCGTGACATAATGTTCCATGATTTCTATACAGAGATCCTATGGAATGGACTGATTTAGATATTTTTCCTGATCTCCATGTTTTACTGTAAACGTCAAGGGCCTTTTAGTTTTGTTGTGTTCGGAAACCTTTTGTTATTATTATGATCAAGTGTTTGTTGTGACGTGAGATTTGGGCTTGCATAAGAGCTACAGGTGTAGGACTTTTAAGGGTCGTGTCCTTATTTTCATCATAACGCTGGGATTTGATAATAAGGGTTAGTTACCAAGGGTATAAATGTGGAAAAGTGCATGTCATACAAAACGTTGCATTCAATTCCAATCATGCGTTGCCACCTGAACCACCTGAAAGTGAGACATGGATTACAATGAATGATGACAGCTTATCAATCTTTAACAAATTCACACTGAAACAGGATTAAGACAGGTTATTTGTTTTCTGTTTCAGCATGTTCAGGGTTGTGGGGAGGTTCACAGACATCCTCATGGAGGATAAGGAGTATTGAGTGAGTATTTTTGTGTGTGATAATGACAAACTACATGTATTCAACATGGTATATTTCAATGCAATATGAATCATCACACTCACAATATTCCAGCTCTGTGATGGCAGCCTGTAAATGATTGAACATGGACCAGACAATCTAGTGATTGTTATTATCAGCAAAGATCCACGCCCTCATAGTATGACGACAACCTAGTCTGACCACCCGATTCATTAGTTGATTAGTGTTTGGATGTTGTTTTGTCGTGGTGTTTGTGTGTGTGAGTGTATTTAACTTAAATCATGAATCTGTTACTTGTTTCTATGTGCTTTTACGATGTAACCCCAATTTCCTTGGGAATAATAAGTATTATCTTATTTATATCTTTTCTGAACAAAGTGTCATATCAAGGTTAGTTCTCTGTCGAAACAGTACAATGGAAAAGCCAAACAAATAGCTTAGAAAAAAAGTAAATACTACATTGCATTAATCTGCATTTCAAGAAGATTTAGCAATAATTAATGGAATGACTTTGACCTTAGTGAAGATCTTTCTGCATTGTCGAATAAGTGATTCCCTATATAATGTGTGTGTTGAATGACCCTGACTTTATTGTCGAAATATTGTTTTGACATTTGTTAAATATGGGGATAAATGTTATCTCTGAATGTTCGGCATGAATTATTTTAATAAGGGCAATTCTAAGTCGGAATCACAACTGAGGTCTTTTCATTTGAATCAAATGTACAACATGTACAGTTTGGACATTTCTGTGATGTGAATGCTACTTATGTTTGTAGAACGCCTGGATGAATAAAAGAGACGGCCATCTGCGCATCATCAATGGAAAGAAAGAAGACCATAGAAGAGTGAGTGAGTGAGTGAGTGAGTGAGTATGGTTTGACGCCGCTTTTAGCAATATTCATGCAATATCACGGCGGGAGACACCAGAAATGGAGACCATAGAAGAGAAGCAATGAGGAACAAGAGAAGAGCAACAGTGAGTGATAAATATTTTGAAATAATCTGTTTGGTTCATATGGCTATTTTGCAAATATTTCTTCAGTTTGTTCATTATCGCTGTGTGGGCACAGATGTCCCTATTATCTAAGGCACCACAATTTGCTGTGCAGAGTTACATCTCTTGGGCTTGGCAGAAACCTGTGGTCATGGGTTCAAATCCTGGTTCGCCCCGATTGTGTTGCTAGGTTTGTCAGCATTATACACATGCTCGTGGGATTCATCAAAGACCTGCATCACTTAGGGCTTTCTTCCCACATCAAGCTAATAGGCCATGATATATCTGGAATACTGTTCAAAGCAGTGTTAAGCTTAACTCACTCATTTAACACCGCATCCAGCAATAATTTGGCTATATGACAAGGATTGTAAATAATCACATCTCAAATCTCGACCAGACAAACAGTGATTAATGTTATGAACTCGGTCCAGACAAACCGATGATAACTGTTATGGACAATATCCCACATCATTGTGGTATGATAACGTGCGATCAATGAGTCTACTAACTACCTGATCTATTAATTTCGTTTCTATGGCAATTATAGATTGCTGGGAATCTTTTTTAAGAGATTTCATTTAGTGATTGTTTCAACTCATCAACATGGAAAAATATAATGTTCAATGTTTGGCATATAACAAGACTCACATGATAACTTAAGTGATTTGGTGCCTTCTATCTGTAAGTACATGGGGAAACAATTCTTTTTGATTGCCAAAATCTTTATACATATTTCTGCAGAAACTGAAGTCCTGCTTGAGATCCCTGGATGAGTATTTCAGGTTGACAGTCTAGAAGGACCAGACAAGGGAGTCCTTAACAAGGAGTGCACCCCTCCAGATATCAGAGGTGATTCGCAGACAGCGATGGCGAAGGTCCTGTTATTTCAATGGAGGCCGACCGAGAAGTTGTATGGCAAATGGTACTGGGACACACTCACAAAGGCTGGTCTGGCTAATGTGAGAAGACCAACCAATGCCAAGCGGGAGTGGGACCCTTCCAGGACTTTCAAGAAATTCTTGTCTTCAGCCATGTGGTAAACACCTGAAAGGAATGATAAATAGGGCTTATTGTCTTTAAACGTGGACCCAAACACCAAATGGAAAGTTCACAATTCTACTAACACAATGCAGCAGGGATAGAAACCATCTGGCATCCCCTCATCCTGGTTCCTGTTCTTCCGTGGCAATATAGAAGGAAAAGGAGGTTTGAGGGAAAGTCAATTCTCTGAACTGATAAACGTGATCCGTAGGTGCTGTCAAGCAAACAGTTATCACACTCTGTTATGAGTATTGAAGAATAGGATGAAATTGCATACTGCATCCGGAACCATCATGTGAACACTGTTCAATGTGTGATATACTATAGGCATATGAATAAAAGAAATTGATAATTTGATTGTTGTTTATGTTTCATTTGCTAGGTGTGTAAATGAGGATGTTTAATGATTTTGCCTCAGTTTAATAGCCACCCTTATCTTATGAAGCCATGCATTGCTTGGGCATCTCAGGAATAAATAACACATGTTTCCTTAGCTCCGAGAAAGTCTGATGACACATTGATCTGTTATGTCAAAGGTCAAAGTCCCAGACAGACAAAAAGTTTGTGGCCAAACTCTTCCTTTGGGCAGGGGTCGAAGTTGGAAAAAGGTCGTGCATATTTTTTACTTATCTTGCATTACTCCTTAATGCATATTACTGCTTGTTCTTGACAGAGAAAAGAGCTGTGAGAAGGTCTTTGCTTGAAGAAGTTGTTCTAACTAGCTGGGAGGTCACCCTATCACGCAGCTCCCACGTGACCAAAGGAAGTGACGTCACGGATCCTCATATTACTCTTGTCACTTGCTAAGTGAAGACCTGTTTTTGATCTGTAGCTTAAACTTGTTCAAACCCTAATGTGTTCTGCTTCTTGAGTTAATGTTCATTGTCCTTGTGTTGTGCATACGGCTTGTATCTTATGAAACATTGCATGTTTTAACATGTGCATATTTTTTGTACACCTGCTGGCGTTTTCTTAAAAAGGAAAACAATGGTAAACCCAGGTGTCTTGTTGTTTCAAGTAGTCATCTTGAATATTTTACGTGGCCACGAGTTATTAAGTGGCTTGCGTTCTTTATTCTTCTTGCTTTGTACCCCACCATTGGCGTACCCTCGCAAGTATTTGTAAAAAAAAAAGAGTTTGGAACCTAAGTCCATCTTGTTGCCATGGAAACGTAAAAATAAAAATTTCTAAAATTTCTAAATAGCAAAAGGCACCAGTTCAGCATGTACCTGACAAACCTGCAAAGTTTCATGAAAAGATATTGAACGGTTTATGAGTTATGCTCCGGAAACGAACCCTACCCTCACAGAACCTAAGTCCATCTTGTTGCCATGGAAAAGTAAAAATAAACATTTCTAAAATTTCTAAACAGCAAAAGGCACCAGTTCAGCATGTACCTGACAGACCTGCAAAGTGTCATGAAAAGATATTGAACGGTTTATGAGTTATGCTCCGGAAACGAACCCTACCCTCACAGAACCAAAGTCCATCTTGTTGCCATGGAAACGTAGAAAATAAAAATTTCTAAAACGTGACGGACGGACGGACGGACGGACGGACGGAGCCCGTTTCTATATCCCCCGCCAACTTTCTTGGGCGGGGGATAATAATTGTAAGAGAAAACTATTTCGACAACTTTCAAAACCTGAAACAATTAGCTTATTGTGGGGCTGACTGGGGTTTAATTAATCAATTATTTAAATAAATGATACTACTGAACATACAACCGATTTCAGCAGAGGAGATTGAGGCGAGACGAGAATCGCTAGCCATTAGCCTACACCAATGGAGCATGATAACAACAACGCTTTAATAAAGTACAACCTTGAATAACTTCCGGCTTTTTGCTTTCGCGTCGGTATTCGGTATTCAATGTAAGTTTCCTTGTATTTGTTCAATATTAGATGATAATGATTATTGTTACTAATTAACTAAATTATGAATTGCAGAAACCAATCCAAAATAGTGCATTCCATGATTTTGTGACATTTTGATTTGCTCGTCCGCACGAGGAGGCAAGATGATATGAAAATTGATCTGCGAGTGTCCATGTATAAACTAGGCGACTAGGGGACTTCGCCATGTGATATGACGTGTATTGCCACCTGTTGCCCAGATTTTTGTGTTGAAGTGTCAGCAAGGAAGTCGCGATCGATAAACAGCTCATGGTCATCGTGATGAGTGTCGCGTTGGATCATCGACCACGTAAGAACGGAGTTAGCTCCCCTGTTTCTTGAACCGATGCTCGAGTAACACCAGGAAATATTCCCTTTGAGATATAGCTTTTCCTGTGTGCATTTCAATTTCCTTCTGATTTGGCATTTCCGAATGTCCTATTTTGTTGATAAGACCAGAAAATGTAAAGTACTAAACGATGACAGTTCACTGGGGTCGCGAACGACGCTGTATACATGGGTAAGTAAGCCGTCCTTGCGTCAATCGTGGGAGACAGTCCGTGCAGTGAGCGCGTGTCCTGCCATACGTGAGTGATTGTCCGGGCTTGAGATTAAGTCCAGTTTGAATCGGATAATGTCTCACTGAACTAAACGAATTTAACTGCTATTCTAATTCCTGTAGTACCAACATATTTGACCTTGACACTTCATATGTCATTTGTGCAGAGAATAAGGAAAAGAAGAGAAATATATGTTTTTGAAAAATTGAGAGTGTCATGAAAACAGTCATGCACGGACGTATATATACGTCTTTGAGTCATGCTAAATTATTTCCTTGTTAGAATATATTCACGTTGTCAGTAAATATCATGATATAGCAAGTCCACAACATAAAAAAATAATAGGTGAGTGAGTTTTTAACCGCTTAATATTTCATATTATACAAATCTTTCAGTAATATCTGCGCGGAAGCCAGAAACCTAGGTCCTCAGGGTGACAGCAATTGCCCCCTAATCACAATAGAGTGTTTGATATTTCAAAATAAATTTCCTCCATTATTTGACATATCGAAGATGTACATAGATATAGATCAATTAAACAAGGATGCCTACCATTGCAACAGTGCGATTTTGGCCTAATAGTTACGATTTTGAGGCTAAAATTACTAGGGCTGGGACGAGTCCAAATTTACTACCCGGGTACCCTACCCCCTATTACCCGTACCTATCCGGGTACTCGCTGTAGGTCTCCAGAGGTAGGTACATACTGTCCGATTGGAAAGGTTTGACCGTAGCTCTGGTAAAATGTGTTTAGATACATGTATGAAACGATCTGGTGAATACACTGAAGTTGACTGAAGTTTTATTTTTATTCAAACATATAAAAGTCAGAAGAAATGGGCGCAGTAGTCAGGAAGAACTGGGAACATTAGTGACTTGTAGTTTAATCATAGAGTTTTAGATACTTTTTGTCATTAAACAATATATTACTTGACTAACCACGGGTCCGGGTAGTCCTGTGGGTACCTGGGTCCTACTCAGTACCCACCCCACCCGGGTATCTGAGTTACCCGTCCCAGCCCTAAGAATTACGTTATTACGCTTTTACTAACATTAAGATTTTTCTCACTTCTTTTTACAAATTATTTACATGCATTAAATATATTAGAGAGCAGTTATTAATGTACAGGTGACATGAAGCATCTTCAGTAAGGCTATGCTGACCAATGAGAGCCTTGCTTTCATTTCAGAAAGTGTTAAGGTATCAATTACTCAGTGATACAAGGTTTCTGATTGGTTGTTATGTTGAAACAAACTTAAATCATTTTAGCTATCGGTCTTTCAGGTGGAGACAGGGAACTAATAGAATGTACACCGCTGTTGCCTCGAAACTCGAAACACCACATTGTCTCTCAGACAAATGTTAATTAGTGTCACATGGTGAATTTTATGTATGTTTAGAGTCATTACCATATAATTTCATTCTTTGAAGTTTACACTGTTTCTTTCATGCTGATTGGCTGAAGGGGTAGTTACGTGATCTGATATTTGGAGTTCACACACCTGTGAACGGACAAAAAAAGTTCACACGATGTAAACAATTTTTTGTGAAATTGATCTTGTGAATTTTTGCCGCAACTACTTTCCAGGGTTTCCCCGAATTCTCGATCGGTGTTTACGATTAACTCATTTTTCTATTTTCTTTTTAATACCTGCATTTATCAGCAATATAATTAATTTAGTATTTTTGCCTGGTCTTGTAACATTTCATCTGACTTATAAATAAATAAAGCTCGGAGGTTCACACAGTTTAACCAGCGCTTTTAAATCGTTCACACTTCAATGAACCCATCCAAACTGGCGTTCAATTCTTAAGTGTTTCACTTATGCCAAGGCCTAACGAAAATGTCTTAGCAAAATCCACATAATGGCAATGTTTATATTACTTTTTCACTTGAAATACCCCACTATTTGCTCCAAAGTTCAATTTGGGTAAGCATCTCTTTATCCATGTTCTGACTTTTAGTAGTCACACAATCAGCTGTGGAAGTCACCTACCATCCAATCCCATCTTCCCGAGGCAAGAGAGTTAACTGACTATAAAAGTCCAGTTTCAATCCTTGCCGAACTAGGCTGGTATTATGGAGTTACATTTTGGCTGGACTAACGAGTCAATGCAAAGTCCAATCAAAATCGCGCATCGAAATCCGGTTCGTAAACGGTTGTGCAGATTTCGGTCTATTGCAGGATTTGCAAAGCATGTGCACCACCGACACGTCAGCAGATATTTTCCAAATCATTTCTTGTTTTTAATCAAGGTGCTCGCGTGATTTTATGCATTTCGCGATGTAAGACCCGTTTTATCACAATATAGATCTTGATTATCGATCAGATTGTCTTGACTTGGCGCTGCCATTTTGTTTGAAACAAATGTAAGTGATACGAGAGGTGTAATCTGATTGGTCCATAGGAGAGGCTTAGAAGGGACAAAACTGGTAACAGCCACTGGTGGCGCTACGATCGAGCCCAGTAATTCCAGCCTAGTTCGGCAAGGGTGGAAACTGGACTTTTCAAGTCAGTTAACTCTCTTGCCTTGTGAAGATGTCCAATCCTAAAAATTGTGCACATTTCCATTTTTGTAAAACAAATATCACATTTATTTGTCATACATTAAACTGGATTGAAAGGATGTCAAGTGTTCACAATAATGCAGAAACTAGGGCAGGGACGGGTAACTCGGGTCGAGTGGGTACAGAGAAGGACCCGGGTACCCACAGCACTACCCGGACCTGTGGTTAGTCATGTGATATATTGTTTAATGCAGAAACTAGGGCTGGGACAGGGTAACTCCGGTACTCGGGTTGGGTGGGTACAGAGAAGGACCCAGGTACCCACGGCACTACCCAGACCCGTGGACCAGACAATCCAGTCATTGGTATCATGAGCATCGAACCACGCTATTCGGATCGATACATCAACCAAGTCAGCGAGCCAGACCACCCAATCCCGTTAGTCGCCGTTTACGACAAGCATAGTCACCTTTTACGGCAAGCATGGGTTGCTGAAGACCTATTCTACCCCGGATCTTCACAGGTCTGATAGTGTTAGAATCAAGATAGGCCTATCTCGATAGCGCTAGAATCAAGATAGGCTTCACTATCACTGTAAGGAGTTATACCCTACACCCATAAACAGGAAAGTCATGTTGTCGATACAGACAAGACATGTTCTATACCATTTTCTCTCAACTTGTGAAACACATTGTTGCCAAGCTAATTTCATTAATGGGAGACAACTGGCAACCTATATGTACAGGTCACAAAATGGTCATTAGGTCGCAAATGTGAGCAAATTCGTCCCTGGGTCGGGCTGCATCTATATCTATGTATAATGTATCAATTCCCTGGCAGCTAAGGTTTGTTTCAGGGCATCAGTAGGGTTAATCTGGTCATGGTTGCTGCAATTTGATGTGGTCTGTCCATCACTTCACACGTTTTTGCCGAAATTAATGTAAAAATTATTTACTTTAATAACATAAATATATGATAGATTACAAACAAGTAAGTCAGTTAACTTCCTTGTCTGGGGAAGATGGGTGTGCTTCAGTTGACATCTTCCCGAGGCAAGGGAGTTATCTGACTGTAAAAGTCCAGTTTCCATCCTTGCTAAACTGCAATTATGGAGTTATATATTGGCTGGACTAACAAGTCTATGCATTGTCCAATCAAAATCCGGTTCATAAACAACATATTCGCTGTGCAGAGTTGCGTCCCTTGGGCACGCCCGAAACCTTTGATTGTGGGTTCGAATCCCGGTTTGCCCCGATTATGTTTCTAGGTTTGTCAGCACCATACCCGTGCTTGTGGGTTTCACCGAAGTGGTAAACGTCTGAGACCTGCATCACTTCGGGCTTTCCTCCCACAATAAGCTGACACGCTGCGATATAACTGGAATACTGTTAAAAGCGGTGTTAAACCCAACTCACTCACTCACTCATAAACAACATGGATTTCAACGTGCAGATTTAGGTTGACTGCGGGATTTGCAAAAGATGTGTTCCATCAACTGGGCCTTGACAGATATTTTCCAATCTTTTTATGGTTTAAATCTAGGTGCTTACGTGATTTGATGCACTTTGTGAGGTAAAACCCATTTATTACAATAAATATCTTGATCATTGATCAGATCATCTTGACTGGTTGCCGCCATTTTGTTTGAAGCAAATGGAAGTGATATGAGAGGTGGAGTCTGATTGGTTAATAGGAGGGAAAGAACTTGTAATAGCCACTGGTGGGTTCTAGGATCGAGCCCAGAAATTCCAGCCTAGTTTGGCAAGGGTAGAAACTGGACTTTTAGGGTCGGTTAACGCCCTTGTCTCGGGAAGATTTTTAGTTAACTGCAGATGTCACCACTGGACATGCAGTGTTCGAAATTGAGCACAGTTGACACAAAAATTTAAACAAAAAGCACTCTCCCAATTGTGATAAATGTTTGTTCATCAAACATAGTGTTTGACATTTTGACTTTACCATGTCATTATATGTAACTATGTATGAGCTCTCAAAATTGAAACCAAAGTAAGGAATGGCTGGCAGTTTTGTTGACCGCAGTGAAAATCCCGGTTAGAGTTGGACTTCAGCAGCCCATCATCTGGTGGTTAGACTTTCTGACTTGGTTGATGCATGTCATTGTATCCCAATTGAATAGATTGATGTTCATGATGTCAGTCACTGGTTTGTCTAGTCCATATTATTAACAGACTGCTGTCATATGGCTGGAATATTGCTGAGTGTGGCGTTAAACAATAAACAAATCCTTTTTGTCAAGTATGCTTCCTTTATCCAAAGCATTTCATGAAGTTATTGAGTTCATCAAGGTTTTGATTCGAAATAGTATGACTTTGTTGTGAAATAGAGGGCTGTGTTCTGCAAACATTAGATGAATAAACAACATTGAAAATTAGTTTTAGGTCACCTGTTTGAAAGTGAGTTTATGTCTTGTCCTCAGAAACCACTGGACCAGTCAAGCTGAAATAAAATTTGTTCCCACCAATGATGACCTCACAATTTGTTCAATAAGTTAAAATCCGCTTTCAAATATACCCGACCCGTGAAGATCCAAGGTAGAATAGGTCTTCAGCAACCCATGCCTGCCGTAAAAGGCGACTGTGCTCGTAAGAGGCAAATAACGGGATCGGTTGGTCCGGCTCGCTGACTTGGTTGATACATGCCATCATATCCCAATTACGTGGATCAATGCTAATGATGTCAATCACTAGATTGTCTGGTCCAGACTTGATTATTTACAGACCGTACAGCTGGAACATTGCTGAATGCAAACAACAAACAAACAAATCAAATCAAATATTAAAAACACCTATTTATGGTCATAAATCAGCCACTTTTGCAGAAAATATTTAAATATCAATGCTGAAAGCAACTTTTGTTAATTGAATTTCTATCTTGAGATGTAAACTGTTGCCTACTGACATGTCAACAAAATGTAAAACACAATCTGGTTGTCTGTCTGTCATCACATTTTTGACATCTCCAAAGAAACTACAAGGCTTAAGAAGCTGAAAATTATTTAGAAATTTCCAAGCTGTTTTCATGCCATGTCTACACTGATGACAACTTAAAGGGGGCTTCTTTTGTTGCAGGTAGAAGACCTTCCTTATTCAGCCTGGACCTGTGACAAGAGCTTATCTCTGAACCATGAGAGTGGGCAGAAGAAAAATCGTTGCTAAGGCTGCCCCAGACCGATCTGAGAAGTCCAACATGGCGCGGAAGGGGAAAAAGAAATCACTAGAAACAGACAGTGGCTTAAAGACAAACGAAGAAGTAACGTCAGAAGACACTGTAGGGGCAGACAGAACAATGACACTTGTCAGTGTGAAGAGAGAAAGCCATGCCTGTGAGTTCTGTTTTGAGACTTTTACAGATGAAAAACAATTTAATAGCCACATGCAGCTGCATTTACCCTTTGGAGATCGCCCTTTCCGATGCGAGACTTGTGGCAAGACGTTCAAGGAGTCCTACCAGCTCAAGGAACACATGAACACTCATCTCAAAGAAAGACCCTACAGATGTCATCTATGTGGAAAGTGTGTGTCGGCCAAGAAAACCTTGAAGAGCCACATTGCAAATCACACAGGTAACAAGAAGCATAATTGCACTATTTGTGAGAAGACCTTCTTCTATGGTGGTGCTCTCAAGGAGCACATGGTGGTGCACAGTACAGAGAGGACACACAAGTGTGAAATTTGTGGAAAAGGCTTCGCAAAGAAGTCTGCACTTGGACATCACCACCTGGTTCATACAGATGTTCGTCCTTTCCAGTGTGAGCTGTGTGAGAAGACGTTCCGCTTGGCATGTGACCTCAGAGTACACAAGAGGTACCACACAGGGGAACAGCCTTTTGAATGTGAGCAATGCGGGAAGACGTTCTACCGGGCACAGTATTTAAAAAAACATATGTTGGTGCACAAGAAGTATAACGGGAGGGCATCTGTACAGCATGACAGTGCTTCTGTGGTTATTGTTTCAGACAACACCGGTTCAAGATCAGATTCTTCTAAAATTCTCTTGAAGCAGGAGGTTGAAATTCCCCATTCTGATCCAGAGCTTGACAATGATGATGATTGTGATGATGACTTTATTGAATGTCCTAAAAGTGAACAGATCTGTACAGAAAGCCTGCCAGACAATACTGAACCATGGCATGGAGGACATGACAGATATGTATCTGAGGGGGAGAAGACTGTACAACCAGGTGATGATACAAAAGCCTTTGAGGAGGATGTGGTGGAAGATCTGAAACACAGCGGGACTGACTCTGCAGGAGATCCATCTGATAAAGATAGACACTATCAAATGTTGGACCTTGGTGAGAAGGTTGAATTTGCTGGTTCTGGAAGGCCTCTGCTCAAAGCCAGTATGGTCAATGAGGGTGCTGAGAACGCGAACTGTCAGTACAGCAGTGTAGGAATGCCGTCACACTGCTCAGACACAACACTGCAACGAGAGAGTCAACACAAGACTGTGCTAGACGTCCAAGTGCCACCAGATTCTGAGACAATATTGATCGCTACATCTGAACATCAACACAAAACTCTGCCAGACATCCAAGTGCAAAGAGGTTCTGACACAATAGCGATCTCTTCTGCTGAAAATCAACACAAAACGCTGCCAGACATTCAAGTGCCACCAGATTCTGACACAATTGTGATCTCTACGGCTAAAAATCGGCACAAACCTCTACCAGAATTAAAAAAGCCTGCAGAGTCGGACACAAAATTGATCACTGCAGCTGCAAATGATCCAGGTCAGTGTATTCCTGAAATGGAGAGGTCTGAAGAGAAGTCTCATGTTTGTGAGACGTGTGGAAAGGGCTTTCGTCGGCTGCAAGGCTTAAAATTACACATGAGAGTGCACAGGGGGGTAAAGTTCAAAAAGGTGTTGGAATCTGTCATTGAAGACGACACGTTTGAAGATGGTGGGGTAGAAGATGACATATGTGATGAAGACATAAGCTTGACAGGTCAGGAAGTGATTAACCCAAGCATAAACGGAACGGACGCTGGAACTGATGACAAGAGTTCCAACCCAAACAGTAACAAGTCAGGAACAGATATCAGTGACAGTAACCAAAACAACAAGGAACAGAATATGTGCAATGTTTGCGGGAAAATGTTTCGATTTCCTGTCCATTTGAAAAAACACATGATTGCCCATACAGAGACAAGACCATTTGGGTGCCCAGATTGTGACAAGAGCTTCAAGACCCCGATAGCCTTGAACCTTCACAGTCGGGTTCATACAAAAGAAAAGCCATATGCTTGTGATGTCTGCGGGGTCTGCTTTGCTCAGAAGAGCACCCGTAATCTACATAAGAACACAGTTCACCTGGCTCTTCGACCTTTCAAGTGTAACATATGCGGCAAGACGTACGGCCGTCGGAGTCACCTGATGGAACACAAGCAATCACATGTTGGGTTGGGTGTTTCACATAAATCTTCTCATTGTAAAATTTGCAACAAGGCCATCAGCAATCATGCCATGAAAGAGCATATGAGGAAACACACGGGAGAACGACCTCTTCAGTGTCTTTACTGTGATAAGACATTCGCTTGGGCGAGAGCACATAGGAGGCACATGGCAACCCATTCGCTTGAGAAACCGTTCAAGTGTGAGAAATGTGGGAAAGGTTTTGCTAATATTTCCTACCTGAAAGTCCACATGGTATCTCATACTGAGAAGACGTTTGTGTGTGAAGTGTGTGGGAAGGCGTTTCACACTCAGTCAGTGTTGCAGATGCATCGTCACATACACAATCCAGACGAAAAGCTTCCGTTTCAGTGTGATCATTGTGTGAAAAGTTTCCACACTTCGAGCGCCTTACGAACTCATATGGATGTTCATACCGCTGAAAAGATTTACCAGTGTCAAGTATGTGGGAAGAGTTATTCTCGGATATCGGTCCTCAAGAAACACATGAAAGGCCATTATGGTGTTCCCATTGAAAAAACGATAAAATGCCCGGATTGCAACAAATTGTTTACTAGCACGTTCCGTTTAAAAGAACACAGGAGAACCCACACTGGAGAACGGCCATATAGTTGTGAGCTTTGTCACAAAAAATATGCTTCAAAGAAAGGACTCAAGTCTCATATGTCCAATCACACTGGAGTCAAACCTCACCGTTGTTCAGTGTGCAAGAAAGGTTTTTCACGAGCTGGGGAACTGAGTCAACATGAAGTTATTCACGGGGAAAAATCATTTACTTGCAAAACTTGTGGGAAAAGTTTTCTTCGGGACTTTAATCTGAAGGAGCACATGTTCACACACACAGGTGGAAGAGACAAGACAATTCCTTGTGATGTTTGTGGGAAAAAATTTGCCAAGCAATGCATGTTGAAGCGTCATATGATATTTCACACCAATGACAGACCTTTTCAGTGTGAGCATTGTGATAAGCGATTCTACTTGCTGGGACATCTGCAATCTCATCTTAGAACTCACACAGGCGAGTCTCCGTTTCAGTGTAGTTATTGTGAGAAAACATTCAAGTCTCATCATGGATGCAAGAAACATATAAATTCTCAGCATGCAGAACAATGTAAACCTGGTGAACCAATTGAGGAAACTGTGTTCATCATCACATTTCCGTAAGGCTGGACGTATTTATTTCTGTGTTTGTTTCCCTTCTCCCGACAGCTTCATTCTGTAGCGAAATAATTTGAGTGAGTTTGGTTTAAAGACACTTTTAACAGTATTCCAGTTATATCGCGGCGTGTCATGCCCGAAGTGATGCAGGTCTCAGACGTTGACCACTTCGATGAAACCCACGAGCACGGGTATGGTGCTGACAAACCTAGAGACATAATCAGGGCGAACCGGGATTCGAACCCACAATCATAGGTTTCTGGCGTGCCCAAGGGACGCGTCTCTGCACAGCGAATCGCGGCCCCTTAGAAGACTGGGCCACCCTTGCCCCCTGTAGCGAAATATAAAAAAGAAGGTATTATCTCACATTTTCCCACTGTTTATTTATGCCACATGGTGTTAAAAAAAACATCCTGCCATTGCACATCCCAGGTCATAAAAATACAGGTCATTTTGAGTACAGGTCATTTCTTCAGCTATATTTATACAAAATTGGGGGGCACGGGTGGCCCAGTCGTCTAAGGTGCCGCGATTCGCTCTGCAGAGTTGCGTCCCTTGGGCATGCCAGAAACCTATGATTGGAGGTTCGAATCCCGGTTCGCCCCGATTATGTTTCGAGGTTTGTCAGCACCATACCCGTGCCTGTGGGTTTCACCGAAGTGGTAAACATCTGAGACCTGCATCACTTCAGGCTTTCCGCCCACATTATGCTGACACACCGCGATATAACTGGAATACTGTTAAAAGCAGGGTTAAACCCAACTCACTCACTCACTTATACAAAATTGTTTCTGAAGAAAAGTGACTCAGTCTACATCATAAATTAATTTGAAGACTCATAACAAGTGTTGTTAACTTTGATATATCATAAAATATGATACAGAATTCGTGAAAAACATTGGACCTCATCAACGCATGACAACAAATAGCTGTAACTACACACAGATTCTAAGTGAACTACTTTTGTTAGTTGGTTTGTTGTTTAACGCTGCACTCAGCAATATTCCAGCTATATGACGGCGGTCTGTAAATAATCGAGTCTGGACCAGACAATCCAGTGATTAATATCATGAGCATCGATCCACGAACAGTGTTTAATAATATCACAGGAGGACAGGACTGTGTTTGGCATCAGCTGGTCATTCGACTCAGGAGCACTCTTTGACATACTTTACTCCCAATAGACGCTACTTTTGTTGATGACCGCCTCTGTGGTCTAGTGGAAGAGCCTCCGCCCTGAGAGCGGAAGGTCCGGGGTTCAATCCCCGCGTCATACCAAAAGATGTTGAAAGATGGTACTTGTTGGTACCCTGTCTGGTGCTTGGCAATAAGGGGCGGAAACAAGGACTGGTCGGCCTGGAGTCAGTATACTGTGTCTGAGTGGGGTATTCATGTTAAACTGCAGCATGGTATCTTTGTGTGCTAGCACTATAAATCGACATCAGTCCGGACAAGTACAAGCAACCACGCGTTAAAATTTAACTCACTGACTCTAAACCATGAAGTCCATTGGCCGAAGCTCATGTAAAATCTCCATTTATATCCTCTGCAACTCTGCCGTTTATGATACGTACACAATGAGTGCTGCATATATATCTGGCAGTCTTCTGCAAGAGCTTCTGTATCGTTACTGCTACGCTTGAGACCCTGTCAAACCATTCACTTCCTGGAATATGTGTAGAATTATTAATAATGACGTCATCAAAAGTTCCTGTCCTACACTTGACATCCCCAGTGATAATAATGACGTCATCACAAGTTCCTGTCCTACACTTGAAATCCACAGTGATAATAATGACGTCACCACAAGTTCCTGTCCTACACTTGACATCCCCAGTGATAATAATGACGTCACCACAAGTTCCTGTCCTACACTTGACATCCCCACTGATAATAATGACGTCACCACAAGTTCCTGTTCTACACTTGACATCCCCACTGATAATAATGACATCACCACAAGTTCCTGTCCTACACTTGAAATCCACAGTGATAATAATGACGTCACCACAAGTTCCTGTCCTACACTTGACATCCCCAGTGATAATAATGACGTCACCACAAGTTTCTGTCCTACACTTGACATCCCCACTGATAATAATGACGTCACCACAAGTTCCTGTTCTATACTTGACATCCCCACTGATAATAATGACGTCACCACAAGTTTCTGTCCTACACTTGACATCCCCAGTGATAATAATGACGTCATCACAAGTTCCTGTCCTACACTTGACAATTCTCAGTGATAATAATGACGTCATCACAAGTTCCTGTCCTACACTTGACATCCCCAGTGATAATAATGACGTCATCACAAGTTCCTGTCCTACACTTGACATCCCCAGTGATAATAATGACGTCACCACAAGTTCCTGTCCTACACTTGACATCCCCACTGATAATAATGACGTCATCACAAGTTCCTGTCCTACACTTGACATCCCCAGTGATAATAATGACGTCACCACAAGTTCCTGTCCTACACTTGAAATCCCCACTGATAATAATGACGTCATCACAAGTTCCTGTCCTACACTTGACATCCCCACTGATAATAATGACGTCATCACAAGTTCCTGTCCTACACTTGGCATCCCCAGTGATAATAATGACGTCACCACAAGTTCCTGTCCTACACTTGAAATCCCCACTGATAATAATGACGTCATCACAAGTTCCTGTCCTACACTTGACATCCCCAGTGATAATAATGACGTCATCACAAATTCCTGTCCTACACTTGACATCCCCAGTGATAATAATGACGTCATCACAAGTTCCTGTCCTACACTTGACATCCCCACTGTTAATAATGACGTCATCACAAGTTCCTGTCCTACACTTGACATCCCCACTGATAATAATGACGTCATCACAAGTTTCTGTCCTACACTTGACATCCCCAGTGATAATAATGACGTCATCACAAGTTCCTGTCCTACACTTGACATCCCCACTGATAATAATGACGTCATCACAAGTTCCTGTCCTACACTTGACATCCCCAGTGATAATAATGACGTCACCACAAGTTCCTGTCCTACACTTGACATCCCCGTGATAATAATGACGTCACCACAAGTTCCTGTCCTACACTTGACATCCCCAGTGATAATAATGACGTCATCACAAGTTCCTGTCCTACACTTGACATCACCACTGATAATAATGACGTCACAACAAGTTTCTGTCCTACACTTGACATCCCCAGTGATAATAATGACGTCATCACAAGTTCCTGTCCTACACTTGACATCCCCACTGATAATAATGACGTCATCACAAATTCCTGTCCTACACTTGACATCCCCAGTGATAATAATGACGGCATCACAAGTTGCTGTCCTACACTTGACATCCCCACTGATAATAATGACGTCATCACAAGTTCCTGTCCTACACTTGACATCTCCAGTGATAATAATGACGTCATCACAAGTTGCTGTCCTACACTTGAAATCCCCAGTGATAATAATGACGTCATCACAGGTTCCTGTCCTACACTTGAAATCCCCAGTGATAATAATGACGTCATCACAAGTTCCTGTCCTACACTTGACATCCCCAGTGATAATAATGACGGCATCATAAAGACCCTTTATTTCCTCCAGAGACTATTTTAATATGACTAGACTGTCCTCCTTCCCACGAAACCGCCTCCATGGTCTAGTGGTAGAGCGTCCGCCCGGAGAGCGGAAGGTCCGGCCGCGTCATGCCAAAAGACGTTGAAATATGTTTCTTGTTACCCTGTCTGGCGCTCGGTATTAAGGGACTAAAACAAGGACTGGTCGGCTCGTAGTCAGTATACTGTGTCTGAGTGGGGGTTTAATGTTAAACTGCGGCATGGTATCTCAGTGGGCTAGCACTATAGGTCGGCATCTGGACAAGTACGAGCAGCCACACACACACGTGCATGCACGTCGCTATACACGCAGAAAAAGAAGCATAGAATTTTACGCGATAATTGGGTTTGCGCAAATAAAAGAGGCGAGTAATGAAATACGAAACGAGCCTCCGTGTAATACCATGTTTTATGAACCTCGCGAAACCAATGAAAGCATGATCTCAATTACTGTGCAAATATAAGAGTTAATTTTATATGAGTATAAGTATGAAGTTATCATTTTTATCTTCAAATACTACGATGTGCCCACTGATACCGTCATTATGTTGACGGCCTGATTGTTAACAACCATGAGTTGCGATATGTTATATGATTGCTTTGTATAACATCGGGTCATGCATGCTGTTCACTTTCATTGGTACTGGATTCTTCTTTGCACAGTAACCACAGTATCTCACTGATTGATTATTTGTTTTAAATTTAAGCAAGTTTTGTGCCTTGTGGAATTGTAGATGAAGAAACGCCAAACAATTTGCATTTACATAAGTAAAGAAAATATCAATTAAATCTGAATACTTCAATGTGTCAATTTCTTTTTCTAAAAAATACAGGTATGAGTAAAAACTATTCATATTTCACTTGTTAATAGTTTTTATTTGTAACATTTCTTTTATTATCTTGCGTCTGTTGTACTATACATTTACAGTCTTAGTTTGTTGACTTTGCAGTCGATATTAGGCTGAGCCCCCAGAAATGTTTTAAACAATTGATTGCATTTTTAGCAGTTTCTTGCCATTTAGACAATATATACTACTCAAAAGAAGTTAAGGATCACCCGATTCTTTCATAATGGTAAAGTTAATCTGTCATGATATGAGAGATTAACTATAGTAATATGAAAGAATCAGGTGATCCTTAACTTCTTTTGAGTAGTATATATACCAACTGTTACGTTATTACCTGGAGAGATATTTACATCAGCAAGTTTTGCTTGTTTACCGATCCAGATTTATTTTGAAATAAAAATATGTTTAAACCATATTTATACCAACAAATGTAGTAAGTCAGTGGCAAAAGTCAATAAGTCAAATAAACAAAGATGGCGGATGCAGTAAAATTTCGAAGTAAAATCAATACTTTTAATATTTCGGAAATAGCTTCCGCGCACCCGGCTACCCGCCAGGTCTGGGGGCAATAATGCCCCAAACGTGCAATGTCTGACCCTTTTCCCTTGTTGAAGCATATTGAGAAAAGCTTACCATGTACTTACTTTTACCTTCTGGCATGTGTGACGCTGAAAGCTCTGATCGAAAACAGGACAATCCGCGACGGTTGTCTGGAAAC